TATGTGGCGTTAAATAGGACACATCGGGTACCTTTGATTAACGTCGGCGGCACTGTATAAAGGTGTGTGTGTGTGTGTGTGTGGGTTTAGTACCGCCACCCCCCCAGGTTCCAGTACTGTCACTCTGAGTAACATATGACCCGACAGCTGGGGGAGGGAGGGGATTTTTTTTTATGACTTAATAACACAACTATTAAAACACACTTAAGGTTCATTAGCAAATAGATGAAAGTACCGATGAGATATTAACTACAGTCGTGAGGTAATTTAGGGAAGAGTGAGTGAGTGAGTGAGTGAGTGAGTGAGTGAGTGAGTGAGTGAGTTTGTTAGTGAGTTAGTGAGTGAGTTAGTTAGTTACATAAAACACTATAGTGTTCAAAAAAGGGTGAACATTACATCATTAATCTCAGAAGGGCGGAGAATTAATTGGTAGTAATAATTAAAAAAAAATAAATCGTAATCACCTTAAAGAGTACTCGTAATCAACTTAAAGAGCACAGGTTGTTAAATGATTCAATTGGGCTCTTACTTGAAGTCATTCGTGTTTGATCAATTCACTAGCATCGTTTTCATGTTTTTTAAAGCATAGTAGTAATGGTGCCTTCACTGTCCCACCATACCATTCCATGAACAATAAACACCACTCACCCCCCCCCATAGCATGAACAAAATAAGAACATATACAAAATGAGTCGACAACTACAAACAATAAAAAGGACAAAGAAACATGGAGACGGAACAGAGGGAAGGAGGGTGGAGCTACATGGAGACGGAACAGAGGGAAGGAGGGTGGAGCTACATGGAGACGGAACAGAGGGAAGGAGGGTGGAGCTACATGGAGACGGGACAGAGGGAAGGAGGGTGGAGCTACATGGAGACGGAACAGAGGGAAGGAGGGTGGAGCTACATGGAGACGGAACAGAGGAAGGAGGGTGGAGCTACATGGAGACGGAACAGAGGGAAGGAACATGGAGAGAGGGAAGGAGGGTGGAGCTACATGGAGACAGGACAGAGGGAAGGAGGGTGGAGCTACATGGAGACGGAACAGAGGGAAGGAGGGTGGAGCTACATGGGGGACGGAACAGAGGGAAGGAGGGTGGAGCTACATGGAGACGGAACAGAGGGAAGGAGGGTGGAGCTACATGGAGACGGAACAGAGGGAAGGAGGGTGGAGCTACATGGAGACGGAACAGAGGGAAGGAGGGTGGAGCTACATGGAGACGGAACAGAGGGAAGGAGGGTGGAGCTACATGGGGATGGAACAGAGGGAAGGAGGGTGGAGCTACATGGAGACGGAACAGAGGGAAGGAGGGTGGAGCTACATGGAGACGGAACAGAGGGAAGGAGGGTGGAACTAGACAGTGGAAATAATTAAGCTAAATGACTCGAGATACTTACCCAAAAAAGCCATAAATTAATTAGCACCTCACCACCAGCAGGTAGCTCCTCGTGTGTCACTGAGCAAGACAACGAGTGACTCAACATCAACACCTAAATAACTCTACACACAGCCAAGTTCGTTTTAACATCTTTTACAATGTAAACAATATGATTTTCTCACCTTATGATCATGTTAGTTCAACTTACGTTCATATTTAGGTCATATTGGACAGTATAATATTTAGTTCAACTCTTCAATATAACTTTATTTATTGTCAGGTTTCAGTCTTTTATCAATTTACTCGAATATTTATTTTTAAGTTTTACGTTTCCGATAATAACGTAGTTTAGTGATACTTTCATGTTCTATTCACCTATTGTAACTATATAATTCACTGCTTCATATTTATAGTTTAACAAGGTCAAGTTATAGTCACACTTCTATAATCAGTAGAACACAATAATACAGGTCACGATATAAATAACTATACAACTACACTGCCATGTTCAGTGTGATTTCTGTGTTGTCATGTTCAGGTCTACCCACAGACCGAGGCGGCCCTGTTAACAACTGACTATGGCTCGGGGCAAATTCTAAAAAAAAAAATCGATGGCGCCACAAGTATTTCTGGTAATTATATCATTTTAAGTGACGTATTTTAGATAACTATATATTTAATTGACGTATTTTGGACAATTATATATTTTAAGTGACGTATGTTAATTTTTTTTATCAAGTGACGTATTTTAGGTAATTAAATAATTTCAAGTGACGTATTTTAGGTTAAGTTGACGTATTTTAAGTGATTTATTTTAGGCCAGCTAAGCATGTTTAAGGCGACTTATTTTAAGCAACTTCACCTACTTTACCCGACTTATAATAGACAAGTGGGCGAATTTTCCATAACCATTTTATTAAGAGAAGTGACCACCATATTCCCCCGGACAGGTAAGGTAAGGTGTGGGGAGCATCAGTTGGAGCCCGGACAGGTGCTCACTATAATAGGCACCAACTACACCTGTTCCTGGACCTTCAAGGTGAGTTAATTACCTATTACTGAGATAGACAGACAGAAACAGATAGATGGATAGATAGATAGATAGGCATATACTGTAGACAGAGAGTGAGACAGACAGACAGACAGACAGAAAGACATATAAACAGACAAACACCTAGATATAGACAGAGAAAATCAACTTTATATAAACCTGATTAAGTATCTATTATAAACACGTGAATTAATCCGAGTTGTGTTGCAAGAGATCAAAACAAAATTTCTTTGTATTGCAAGAATATAACACATCGGTAAGCTATGTTGCAAGATATCAGGATACCGCTATATTATGTTGCAAAACGTTAAGATATCACTGTGTTATATTGCAGGGGCCACGTGATAGCCAGGTCAGAGCAAAATGCACGACCTTCCAAGTGCCAAGGTCAAAACTGTGCTCCGGGGCGGCACTACATGTCTCCGCCCCGGGTAGTGCCACCAAGAGGTTAGTAGAGCCTACCACCCCGACACTGGCACCACGTACTGTATGGACCTAATGATCTGAATAACACCTGTATAACACCATCATATCTCCTGTGTAACACATGTATAACACAAATAACACCTGAATAACACCTGTATAACACTTATATAACTCCTGTATAACACCTGCATAACACCTGAATAACACCTGAATAACACCTGTATAACACTTATATAACTCCTGTATAACACCTGAATAACACCTGTATAACACCTTCATATCTCCTGTGTAACACATGTATAACACCTGTATAACACCTGATAATATTTGAATAACACCTGTAGTTATAACACCTGTATAACACCTGTAGGTTGTGTGGCCGCAGAAGTAATGTAATGATAGACAGGAGGTCACAAAGCCTGACCCTAACCAACCATCCCCAACGTCACACCTCTAACCTCTTCACCTGTGACCTCTACCTAGTGTGTAAGTACCTCTTGCTGAATTGTATTTAAGTAATAACCTTTTAAGTGTTTCGTCTTTACAAGTACACAAGCACTTTAATTGTTCAAGTACGTACAAGTGTGTTTAAACTGTACTTAACTCCCCTATAAGTATTCTAAGTACTTTACCTTCTATTTAAGTATGTAAGTATATATCTCACATCTAAGTATAAATTAGGTTTCAACTGTAAACATAAATACCTCATAAATAAGTACTACAGTTAACTACTTTTACCATCAGACACACAAACACTTATTTTAGATCCGTTCATTAACCCCAAATGTAATTATCATCAATATTATATACAAGTTAACCCCGTATGATAATGTTACAGTGACGCCCCCCCCCCTACAGCTGGTATGAGTCACAGATCACTTGTTTACTATAATCAGCTGATAGTATGACGTCATAGCTCTCGTGTTTACTATAATCAGCTGATAGCGAGACGTCATAGCTCTCGTGTTTACTATAATCAGCTGACAGTATGACGTCATAGCTCTCGTGTTTACTATAATCAGCTGATAGTATGACGTCATAGCTCTCGTGTTTACTATAATCAGCTGATAGTATGACGTCATAGCTCTCGTGTTTACTATAATCAGCTGATAGTAAGACGTCATAGCTCTCGTGTTCACTATAATCAGCTGATCGTATGACGTCACAGCTCTCGTGTTCACTATAATCAGCTGATAGTATGACGTCATAGTTCTCGTGTTTACTATAATCAGCTAATAGTAAGACGTCATAGCTCTCGTGTTCACTATAATCAGTTGATCGTATGACGTCACAGCTCACGTCACCTGTTCATCCAAGCTTCTATAAAACGGGGAGATACTGATAAAGAAGAAGATAAGAGAAATAATGAAAAAAGATTAAATTACAAAAAAAGATTAAAAATAAAAAAGAAATCGAGAGACAAATATAGAAAGATAAATGAAGAGAAATATAGATAGAAACAAAGAGAAGAAAGAAAGAGTAAAATAAAGAAAACATGAAAAATAATGAAATAAACTTAACGAAAATAATTGTTTTTTGTCTTTGTTGTGTGTATTGTATTTATCTTTGTTTATACAGTATATTTTATTTATTTGTTTTTCAGCGCCTCCCAACTCCAGGGTCAAGTGCAGTAAGTCCACGTTATGTTTTTATGTGAGGGAAGTGTGTGTGTGTGTGTGTGTGTGTGTGTGTGTGTGTGTGTGTGTGTGTGTGAGTTATTCTAAACCTTTTTAAATATTTTCATTAATTTGGCCATATTTTGATAATAATTATATCTGTACACGAAAAAAAAAAGTTATACCAAACACACATTCCAACAGGGCCCTCAACCTAACCTAAGCCAACCTAACCTAACCCAACCTTACCTAACCCAACCTTACCTAACCCAACCTTACCTAACCCAACCTTACCTAACCCAACCTTACCTAACCCAACCTTACATAACCTAACCCAACCTAACCTAACCTTACCTAACCGAACCTTCATGACTGGGAATCATTAGGACTTCATATCCTTCAGGTTGAAACATCCTATTATACAATCCTAGCTGTTATCTGTGACTGTATCCTTGTGTTGCATCGTTCTATCCTCTGTACCTACGGCTGTATCACTGTATTTACCCCCCCCCTCCCTCTTAGAATGTGGTGCTGAAAACCTACAAGGATCTATCAGACAATTGGGTGGCTCATGGGCGGCAGAGGGCGGCGATGGAGACGAACTACCTGCACAGATATCCAAAATGGGCGGCGTGAAGATCGTGGGCGGCAAAGAGACGAGGGTGGGCCAGTACCCGTGGATGGGCGGCCTGGCGTGGCGGAACATGAAGAGGGTGTTCTGTGGGGTGGTGGTGGTGACCGACAGACACGTCCTTACTGCCGCCCACTGTGTTGACGAGTGAGTGAGGGAGCCAGGGAGGGAGGGAGGGAGGCAGCCAGGGAGGGAGGGAGAGAGAGAGGGAGCTAGGGAGGGAGGGAGCTGGGGAGGGAGGGAGGGAGGGAGGAGGGAGGGAGCCAGGAGGGAACAGAGGGATGGGAACCAGGGGACAGGAGGAACCAGGGAGGGGATGGAACCAGGGGATGGGAGAGAACCAGGGAGGGAGGAGCTTAGGAGGAGGAACCAAGGAGGGAGGGAACCAGGGGAGGGGAGGAGCCAGGGGAGGGAGGGGACAGAGGGAAGGAACTAGGGGAGGGAGGGGAGCTAGGGAGGGAACCAGGGAACCAAGGAGTAAGGAGGGCAGGCAGGGTGTTAGGGAGGGAGGGGGTAGGGAGGAAGGAAATAAGAGTGAAATAGGGCGATCTAGAGTGAGAGAGAGAGATGGAGTAAGAGAGGGAGAGATGGAAGGAGCAAGAGAGATAGAGTGAAGGAGAGAATGAGGGAGAGATGGAATGAAAGATAAAGTAAAAGATGAAGTGAGGAAAGTGTTCTATTGGTCAATGAATATTCAAATATGAGAATCTCGTTGCTTCTATTGATGCTTATGTGACGTCACGACCAATAAGATTTCTAACACTATGACGTCACGACCAATAAGATATTTTTACCCTATAACGTCACGACAAATAAGATTCCTAAGACCATGACGTCACGACCAATAAGATCTCTAACACTATGACGTCACGACCAATAAGATTTATAACACTATGACGTCACGACCAATAAGATTTATAACACTATGACGTCACGACCAATAAGATTTCTAACACTATGACGTCACGACAAATAAGATTTCTAACACTATGACGTCACGACCAGTAAGAAGTCCTGGAACCTGAAGGTGGTGGTAGGGGAACACGACCTATCGACAAACCGGGAGTCTATCAAGTGGACCAGAACTATAGCCGATATAGTCTTCCCTCCCGACCATACGTGAGTAATATAACGATAAAAGTATAGTGTTTTAACCCTTTGAGTATAATGTTTTAACCCTTTGAGTATAATGTTTTAACCCCCAATTCAAACAATTAAGACAATACTCAAGGGATTATATAAATAGTTTTAGTTCGCTGAGAAAATACCTCAATACACTGAACACATCAACTCACAGGTACCAGCGGGTTGACGTGGGCGACTTGGCGGTACTCACGCTAGACCGGCCCTTACCTTTCGGCCAATTACTACAGGTGAGAACATACATAAAACAAATTTTACATACACACCTGTACAAATTAAAGTATATATACACACATACAACGGTACACATAGAAGGGAAAATGCATTTATATATATGGATATTTTTTTTTTTTTTAGGGGATTAGCCCACCCGGGCATAGGTCACTGACCCACATGACCACATCAGGTCTGGGGGGGGTGAAATAATTATTATAATAATAATAATAATAATAATAATAATAATAATAATAATAATAATAATAATCAATACAAAATAATAAAAACAAATAAAAACTATAATAAAAATAATAAAAAAATAATAATTATAATAATAATAATAATAATAATAATAATAATAATAATAATAGTAATAATAAATAAATACAATAATTAATAATCAAGAGTGAGAAACGATATACTGTACAGTATGTATTTTGTCAAACCAAGAGAAACAATTGAGACCCTGCAATTGTGTGTAAATGAGGCAGAAAGTCAGATCAGCAACCTGGGACTTGGTCACAATTTTCGTGGTGCCATATGGCAGCAGGGTCTACCATTAGACAACACATTATGCTTCCAATATCTTCCCAGGCGGTAGTACCTCCCTGTTTGGTAGCTGCCTACTTCCCACTACATACATATACCGGTTATACTGTGTTATTCGATTCAACAGAGGTAAGTGGCAATCTCTACAGTAGACGTCTCGGCTTTAGTTGTACAAGTATGTGCTGTGGTGCAGGTGTAGCCAGTGTCTCCCCCCCCCCTCCTCACTTAAGGAAGATAATTAAGGTACAGGTGTTGTGGTGCAGGTGTCGATGTCGCCTGTGTGTCTCCCTGAACGAGACTCTGGCAGCTGGAGTGACCACAACGCCACCGTGATGGGTTGGGGCACAACCGACGCCAACTCCCATCAACTGCCCCACAAGCTACAGGCGACAGTGGTCCACATTATGAGCAACAGAGAGTGTCGCACCACCACTGGCTACGGGATATACATTAACCATAAGCTCCTGTGTGCTGGTCTGCCACAGGGAGGTTCAGATGCCTGCTTGGTGAGTCACTGTTTATACCTCGAGTTACGGTTCTCCTGGGTGAGTGGTCAGTCGTTAGTCTAGAATAAAAATTAAGCAGCTAGCTTTCGTCATACAGACTTACTGTTCAGAGGCGAATCCAGGAATATCAAAATGGGGGTCAAAGAAGTTTTGGGTTGAGGAACCTGGCGTGCAAAGTGAGCCCAAACAGCTGGGGGATTTAAGGGGGCGTTGTAAGCCCCCAGAAATATTTTTTGAAATCTGACCAATATCATGGACATTCTGAGGCCATTTTGAAGCAATGAGCACTTGATATTAGGAGATATTCTGAGGTTAATTGTAATTATTTTTTACTATACAAAAATACCCGAGTGCAATACTGCATTAAAGAAAAAGTATTGGAATTTTCTGATTAAAAGGGGAGGTCAAGACCTCCTGCATGCCCCCCCCCCCCTTGCTGTTTACCATTTTCAAAGCTGTTTTATCCCCTTAAATCTACCCTTAATGTATCTTAAGACTTCCCCCCTTCATATCATTATTTCAGTCTTCACATTTTACACTCTAGAACTGATGCACAATGTCATTTTTTATCCTAACCTCGTCACCTTTCACTCTGGGGGTTGGTGTAGGGTGACAGTGGAGGGCCCTTAACAGTGCAGGGTGAGGGGGGTCACCACACCCTGGTGGGGACAGTGTCGTTTGGTCGATCGTGTGGTGTCTCTAGATGGCCAGGCGTCTACACCAGGACCACGGGTGAGTCTATGCTTCTGATCTTACTCTGGGTCAATCTCAAAACATGTCATAGTCTGGGGCAGTGGATTATGTGATAGTTTCATTTGATATGGTCGGGGTGAAGCATCACGGCAGGTTTAACCAGGAGGTATATTAAATATAGCTATATAATATTGCCTACATTACACATTATACTTCATCCGTTATCTTTTTCTCTGCACCACACTGAAATCTGGAGCTACTTAACACAACATTAAAATCCTGAATAAAATTTAGCCTTCTGACAACTGATGCTTCTGGCACGTTAAAAAACTAGTCAATAAACAGTTTGTTAAATTTGGGCTTTAGAGTAAGATTAGGTTCGACAAAAACTGAGGTTAATATTCGTCCACTGGCTGTCCGCAGGTTTCCAATTTTCAATATTACAGACACAAAGACTAGAAAAAACAAACATACGATCAAATTTCTTGTGCAAATCAATATTAACGGAATATCTCACAAATTTCTTGGTGTAAATTTTTGTACCCGCTATGTTGCCAGAGTCGCTTTTCTCGTCCTCTCCTCCTCCTCTTTGTGACATGACCAATGATCTTCAAATATCGTGTCATGTGACTTTGCTGGCAAATTATTTTGAAGCAGCCTTATGAAGGCTGATGCAGCCATTTTGACGGTTCGTGATGGAGTGCGAAAAGTTACCCCCCCCCCCTTATCTAGCTGTTATTCAGCGAGTTTATCAGAACGAGTGAAACAATCCAAATATTACAAGGTCACGGTGTCCTACCAACATGAAGACAGTCTTCCGTATGGAAATTTTTTTTTTCCCAAAGAGACAAATTCTTTTGCCTATAACCATAGGCGTACCAGAGCGCCTAGCCGTATCCCCCACCACAGTAGCAGGTAAGCTCTAAAAATGGTTAGGGTAGGTTAGGTTAAGTGACGTTAGGCTAGAATACGTTACTTTTGTGTGTGTGTTTTATGGTGTGTTTTACTCAAACCTGGCCGCCAATTTGGTGCAAATTAGTCGGTTTCTGTTACAAATGAAGAAGTTAACTGTTTTCAAAAACCGCTAATTTACACATGAAATGAGTCAGATAAGAGTAAAACACACCATACTACACACAACAAAATATTTTTGTATCAAAATCTGTGGACAGCCAATGGATGAATATTTACCAAAACTAATAAGGAGAAAAGGTTACATCTTAGCCCCTGCCTTATCCTGATTCATGATACTGAGAGAGAGAGAGAGAGAGAGAGAGAGAGAGAGAGAGAGAGGAGAGAGAGAGAGAGAGAGAGAGAGAGAGAGAGAGAGAGAGAGAGAGAAAGAGAGAGAGAGAGAGAGAGAGAGAGAGAAAAGAGAGAGAGAGAGAGAGAGAGAGAGAGAGAGAGAGAGAGAAAGGAGAGAGAGAGAGAGAGAGAGAGAGAGAGAGAGAAAGGAGAGAGAGAGAGAGAGAGAGAGAGAGAGAGAGAAAGGAGAGAGAGAGAGAGAGAGAGAGAGAGAGAGAGAGAAAGGGAGAGAGAGAGAGAGAGAGAGAGAGAGAGAGAGAGAGAGAGAGAGAGAGAGAGAGAGAGAAAGGAGAGAGAGAGAGAGAGAGAGAGAGAGAGAGAGAGAGAGAGAGAGAGAGAGAGAGAGAGAGAGAGAGAGAGAGAGAAAGGAGAGAGAGAGAGAGAGAGAGAGAGAGAGAGAGAGAGAGAGAGAGAAAGGAGAGAGAGAGAGAGAGAGAGAGAGAGAGAGAGAGAGAGAGAGAGAGAGAGAGAGAGAGAGAGAGAGAGAGAAAGGAGAGAGAGAGAGAGAGAGAGAGAGAGAGAGGAGAGAGAGAGAGAGAGAGAGAGAGAGAGAGAGAGAGAGAGAGAGAGAGAGAGAGAGAGAGAGAGAGAGAGAGAGAGAGAGGAGAGAGAGAGAGAGAGAGAGAGAGAGAGAGAGAGAGAGAGAAAGGAGAGAGAGAGAGAAAGAGAGAGAGAGAGAGAGAGAGAGAGAGGAGAGAGAGAGAGAGAGAGAGAGAGAGAGAGAGAGAGAGAGAGAGAGAGAGAGAGAGAGAGAGAAAGAGAGAGAGAGAGAGAGAGAGAGAGAGAGAGAGAGAGAGAGAGAGAGAGAGAGAGAGAGAGAGAGAGAGAGAGAGAGGAGAGAGAGAGAGAGAGAGAGAGAGAGAGAGAGAAAGGAGAGAGAGAGAGAGAGAGAGAGAGGAGAGAGAGGAGAGAGAGAGAGAGAGAGAGAGAGAGAGAGAGAGAGAGAGAGAGAGAGAGAGAGAGAGAGAGAGAGAGAGAGAGAGCTAAGTTACCCCCCACAAATAATTTTTACAGTGATACGTTTTCTGTGTTTCTCTTAGCGTACGTCAGCTGGATAATGGAGCACATTAAGGACGGACTTCGCTGTGACCAGTGACGTCCTGACGAGAGTACTGTACACCCTGAGCCTACATCCCACACCTTATAATTGTATCCCCTATAGCTTAACATCTATCCTACATCCTATGCCATCCAACACCTCCAACCTACACGACCTAATTACTTCATTCAGTGTTCTTCAGGTTTACTGTGGGGTTGACAAAGGACATTATACTCTGAATGCATCGAAACTTGTGTAAATATTTGCACAGTTAACCAAGACACACTACAAGGCATAGATCACCATTGTGTTGTGGGGAGGGGGGGGGGAGAAGGGTGGTGGAGGTTTATGTAGTTAGGACCCAGCGCCGTGTGTAACGGGTGTAAGCCAGTTTGGCCTGGTTATCAAGCCAGGGAGAGGTGGGTGGACTGAGGTCAGGCAGGTACTTGAGCCAGGTAATTTCAGAGACATCAGCTTGACATATCTTGAGTCACCCTTACCAGTATAGTACACAAACCTGGAAGTGAGTAATGACAAGTTCAGTCACTCAAAAAGTTATCTCTACTTGAGAATAGACGAGTTGTCGGTCGGAATTTTTTCGTAAGATGGCAGATCAATGGGTAAAGAAAACGCTTCAATTCACTTCTCAACTGATTAGCTCTGTAAATAAATATTATTAGATAATAATTGTGCCTTACTGTGCAACACAGTATACAATATTGAATATATAAATATAACTAAGCACATTAACTAATTCAATGTATATCAGCTGCCCCTACTACAAATTTCATATTATAAACATTCCAAACAATATTGGTATTATTTTCGTTTTGGTCATCTGGGGAACCTTAAGATTCTAACTATGGGATTAAGTACTTTAAACAATAAGACACATTTTCTCTACGGGATTTCTGTCGCAAAACATTTTTCGATCGCATAAGAAAATACAGGTCATATGTTGGGTTGGGTTGGGTTAGGTTAGGTTAGGATATTATGAGTTATATTATAAATTATAAGGTTAGCTTAACATACATCGGTAAGGGGGAGGTGTGGTAACTCAAAACTAGTGTTTCCGATGGAAATGAAGGTCAAAATCGTTCATAACACATCGCAAACCATCAGAAAAAAGATAGTCTGCATGTCTAAGTACAAGGATAACAAAACTTAAAATTTACCCAGTACAGCCTACAGTATCTCGAATCTAAACATCCAAATACTTATGGTAGTTAACGTAAAATTTTACCCATTAATTAATTTAAATGATAATATATCCCAATGCATTCTCAAAACAAAATTCAGATAATGTCATTACTTCTAAATTAACTCGATCTCCATCTAGTACTGATATACTCTGTAAATGAACTGGAAAAAAGAGAGTCTTCCAGGTAAGAATACATGACAGGTGAGCTGGTGTGAACAGGGGAGTTTTTTATGTCCATAAGCTGCTCTTCGCGGCACATTGCTTCACTTACGAAATGTCCATGACTTAAACCATAAAGAAACACCCTTAAAACTTACATGGACGTGGCATTTGGGGTCAGAAGAGGCCAACCTTGTATTACCCTCCGACTGCAGGGGTGAGTTTGTTGGAGAACGTCGGCTGCAGGGAAACAGGGCCGCCATTGCAAATGGCGGCCCTGTTTCTAGAGAAATAAACTTATCTCGACTATTATAGCATGATTTTAAACTTTTATTACTAATTATATATACCGTATCACTGTACGAGCGTGGCAGAGTGTATTTCTTGTGTTTACCGAGAACCGACAACTCGTCCATTAACACTACGACTCCTGTTGTCTCGGTAGGGCTGCCAAAATCTTTCGTCCTTGTGTCATTTTTTTTTCCAACACAATTTTCTACAGATAGTTTTTTAAGTGACTGTATATATCATTCATGTGTTAGGTGTGGTTAGTTCAAGAGACGACATGAAGAGAATTAGATACTATACGAAGTGTTCTGTACTACTGATGTAATACAACTGTATATACGTAGTTTACAGGATTTATTTTACGTAAATGTATTTTTTTACATTTTCTGACAGAATGTTAGTGCGTCTATGATATATTGTTAACGCAGGTATTTATTTTGTAAGAAAAATAACAAAATAATCCTGGAAGCTCTTATGATTTTCACATTAAATTTAGCTGCTGAGTGTCACCTTATTACGCTGTCACTCAGGTCACTCATTTCTCTACGAGGCTTCATCA